GGGGGAGCGGTGGTTCACTCTCTAGAAACTATGAGGACACTGGTTCGATTCCATGGAAACTGGTTCATGAGTGGGTTCTTGGTCTTTAGTACACAATACAGGAGAGACATGTATTTTGTGAGAGGATTCTTTTAAATGAAGAAAGAAAAAAATTCACAGCTTTTATTAAATATTTGTCTAATTTTGTACCACTACAGTATATTGTAACCCTTATTGTACCATCACCATTAAAATAACTTACTTAAAGTATACCAGACATTTAGAAAGCTTACTTAAATTGTTCCAGTGCCTTTAAAATACCTATTCAGATTGTACCGCTGCAACATAATTACCAAGGCAAATTTACCAAGGCAGCTCATTTAGCAAAACAAATATTGCCAACTATAAATTCATTACTAACCTCCACTATACCATTGCAGTTCTAATTATCAATGCAGATGGCACCATTACCCATTAATTACCATATTCAGATTGTACAGCCGCATTTGAATTACCAACCTCATTATTGTACCACTGTAAACACTAATCAAGAACTCTCATGATGATAGTGCTAAACTTGGCCGAGTCAATTAGTAACGCAATGTTGTCATCACCACTGTGGGTTAATTAGTCACCATAAATTGTACCATTATACTTCTATTAGCAACTGAGATTGTTCCATTGGATATGAATAATTATCAGCATTAATTATAGCGTAATTAACACCTTATATTGTCCAATCATATTTCCATCAGCAAACATAGATTGTACCATTAAAGGTCAATTAACACCTTCAATTATTGTACCATTACAGTTTCATTGAGTTAATACCATCTCTAATATTTAATTACCTGATTATAAACACATATTAGTACTCATGAAAAATAATGAGTTAATCGACCTACTTGACCAAAATAGGAAAGTTTATGAGGGTTTATTAAAAAAAAAGTCAAGAATGCAACTAGAATGAATGTATAGATAAGGCAAGTAATAGACGTGTATACAGAAGAGGGTAAAAGGGATAAATACATAGCAAGGGTATACAGAGAAGGATCAGTGAAGCAAGAAACTTATTTGCATGTAGAAAGGAGACAACTGAGAGAGAGAGAGAGAGAGAGAGAGAGAGAGAGAGAGAGAGAGAGAGTGGGTAGAGGGAGAAAGAGAAGCGGAGAGGGAGATACTGAGAAGGGGATAAAAGGAGAGACATACAGACAGACAGAGAGAGGATTGAAGGTAGTCTATAATTCATTTGCATGGTGAGGGAGGGATGAAGGAAATTAAGATCTCACCCTCGCCTGTAGATGGGCTCACAGGGGAGTGAATTCAGCAGCAGCAGCATCACCAACAGGAGGAGGAGGAGCATCAAAGGAGCATCAGACATAGATTTAAGGCAATTCTGATAGAGGGAATGAAGGTAGATTTTTATGAAGATATTAGATTAGAACAGTGTCCTAACTGTCCACCAGATTAGATGATTCGTTCATAAGGATTACAAGGGTTTAATTTGGGTAATCCCGTGTTGATGTTGCAGCTTAAAGATCAAGGGATAAATGTCTTTCAGTTTATAAGGGATGGTTGACAATTATCTTAGCCATTGAAAGGTAATGATGTTGCGTTATTAAATATAATAAAGAATACTTGATGTAAGAGTAACGTTGATATGATTTTTCTTATTGTTTTATTAATGTTAGTTTTTTCGACACATCGCTTCATGAACGTAGAGACCAACGTCACCACTGAATTGAGAGGGTCCATTTTAGAGCGGTTTGGGGTAATCAATTTGGTTCTGTCACGCCACATAACCGGATGAATCGGATGAAATGGGTCAAAATTGCCATTTTTTTTACATTTTTAAAAGCAAAATTTGGGGTAAAAACAATAGAATTCAGGGTTGCTAATGAGACCATCGAGTAGTAAACCGTCAACAGCTTTACATCACGAAGCTCTTTGATGCCAGACTCTGTGAGGCAGCTGTCATGAGGGATATCAGCTCCTACTCTGAACTCCTCATAGACTTCCTTTGTTCAGACTGGCCAAGAATGAAGATATTGACACACACACACACACACACACACACACACACACACGGATAATTTGAGTTTTTAGGGAAAGTGGCGCGAGAAACGTAAGATCAATGTTACCCAATTTGTTAATTAATTCCTTTAATATCTAAAGCCTATAGCAAGCTGTCACCTGGGTGTTCCGCTACACCGTTAACTGTTTTCGCTGCCAGAGTGGGAGACAAAGCATTAGTTTGCCTGAGTTATTACAGTAATGAAGTTACACTCTATATTGACAGTACCAGACTCTGAAACTTTCCCTTTGATGGTTTGGCAAATGAATGTTCTCGCTTGATGAATAATGCAAAGAGTAACTCAAATTGATGTGGACTGTTGATGCTAATATAATACACAGGCTAATGGCAGTTGCGTCTCGCTCATCAGAGAGTCGAGGTAAAATCCCCCCCCCCCATGAACCCTCACACACCCAGACACATGCAACACCACCCACCCCCTCCCCCATGAACCCTCACACACCCAGACACATGCAACACCCCCACCCCTCCCCCCCATGAACCCTCACACACCCAGACACATGCAACACCACCCACCCCTCCCCCATGAACCCTCACACACCCAGACACATGCAACACCACCCACCCCTCCCCCATGAACCCTCACACACCCAGACACATGCAACAGCACCCACCCTCCCTCCCATGAACCCTCACACACCCAGACACATGCAACACCACCCACCCCCCCCCCCATGAACCCTCACACACCCAGACACATGCAACACCACCCACCCCCTCCCCCATGAACCCTCACACACCCAGACACATGCAACACCCACCAAAAATAAAACACACCCGAAATTATTCATATAAACTTAACGTGTAAATCGAGTCCGAAAATATTGATGATTAATGGACACTGACAATCCCACAAAACAAACACCACTTAATAAATCATATTTTGTCAGAGGAACAAAAAATGCGCTTGAAATTGCATATTGGTTTTATGTAAATTGGTTGGAATTGGGAGTTGAAATGGTCTTCAGTGGGGAAATATTTGGCAGTTTTTCCTAACACTTGCTGCGTAATTACCGCTTAGCCAATAAACCTGTGTTGTGTGTCCTCCCCGGCCGAAATTATTACACACGTGTTACATCATCATTGGTTAATTAGTGTACACGTGTAACATAATCACATTAAAACCTGTAATTACTGCAGAACGTATTGACAGTAAACCACTTACCATGTACAACGCAGTCAGTAATTATATAATATACAATCATAGTTAACAGTCTACATGTACTGTACAACACAATCACAGTAAAGAAGAACTACACGCATGACATAATCACACTACACCAATACAACATTTGTCATAATCACAGCATTGGAGCAAACATGTAGATAATAATCAGGGTGAACCACTGAACATGTACAGCAACTTACATCACACTACACCAGCATACGTGTACAACATATTCATCCCTAACCGTGTACAATATGCATCGCCGACTGAATAATCCTAGATGTGTAGACTGTGTTGCACGCTATGCAATCACAACTCTGTAATCCTAGTTATCCCAATCAGGGCGCGTAGTGTAATGACATCACAACAATGCATCGTCTTAGTGCTTGGGAAATGACGGTAATGAGCTATGAGGTCGTGTATAACTACCACGTCAGCTCCGTCACACACACACACACACACACACACACACACCTGTTTTCTTATATATTGACCAAGGTGACAGGTATGTTGCACACCTGTCCTCTTGTAATGTTGGGACCACAGTGGCAGAATGTTCCTCACCTGTCCCCAGTTGTGTTGTGTGTATTGGCAACTATGTCAACAGAGAGAAAAGTTATTGATTAGGTGAACATTACTCTTGATACTGAGTGGTGTAGTTTCAAGTCCATCAGACATTCAGGTGCACTTCATGCGAGTTATCTCTTTGAAACGCTTCATTTATACCACAAAATTATACCTTGGGTACTAATTAACTTACGGTAATTCTGTAACAAAAATAAATGAGTCTCGTCTGCACTCCAATGAAGGGTTACTTAGTTAAAATAACAATAACGCGAAATTTACCTTGAAAAATTAAAATGACAGAAACTTATAATAGAGCCTGAGTGTATGGACTCCATCTGTTATGAGTACCAGTGTGAGTACAAACCTCGGAAATGTTTTAATATAAGCTTCCGTTGCTTAATTTAGAGTGATCTATCTCCCTATAAACGAATGAAAATTAACCTTAGGGAAGTTTACAAAGAGATAACATCACCTGATAATAATAATAATAACCGCTTAACGTCAGGGGCTGGATGTTCAGATTTGATCGAAGGAGTTAACGTAATGTTGAACTATCGCCCAGAAACAATGAAATGTAAATCAACTACAAAATTGGAAAGACGAGGAAAGGCGAAATCTATAAATCAATCCTTAAAGTATATGAAATAAACACTCAAGGATAAAAGACAATAGAGACGCAAAAAGAAAACAAAAACATAGATAAATTTACGTAACAAGGATGGAACTAGCAAACTAAGATAAGAAGATAAAGAAACAAAAAACAAACTGACCTAACAACAACAAAATATGAAACAACTAACTTACATAACAAGTCCCAAAGAAAAGTCTCTCTTGTAAAACTGTGAACCAGAGTGAAAACAAAATTATTTCTCCAACTCTAAATATTACCTCCTATAATCACTGGATATTAAGCAAGTTATATCAGAATAATTAAGAAAGCGATTAGTATAATAGGTGTAGATTGAAATTATTAGAGTATTATTATGAATATATTATTAATTATAATGTGTAGTCCAAATGGTACAGAGACAAGATTCTCTCTCTCTGATTGCATTTTCCTTCCTTAGTCATTAGTAACGATATCCTAACAGTCCTTCCTTTCTCTTAGATAAAGTACAAATCCCACATAGATTATCAATTTGTTTTTCGTGTCTCGATACAATATTCTAAAACAACCATTTGTCTTCTCAGGTGTGTGTCGAGTGACCAGAGAGCGACTGTAAG